AGGTGCATCCTGTGTTCAAACAATTCAGTGAGCCCCTTGAACCCTAGCCCCAGGCTGTACATGGTGCATTTACTGCTTCCCAAATTCAGACTTTTGACATAGTGTTAAGATTCACCCCATTACTTGAGACTTCAGTGTTCTGCAGCAATAGTGTTTGCCTTCAGATGCTTTGTACTACTGGGGGTCACTCAGTAATTGAGTCAATTAATCCAGGTACCACAATTCACCAACACTTGGCAATGTTGACTATGTTTACCAAGCTTTATAGTGCTTGCTCCAGACACTTAAGCCTGGTGTAAAGTGTCCAGAATGGCATTCTGTTTGGGTTAACACTAACATGCATCCTTCAGTGATTGATGGAACATGGCTGCTTTTGCCTAGTTGCATTCTATTTCCCAACCAAATATTTAGAGATGTGAAGGTCCACAAATAAGTATGTGTATTCAGTGTTTTGCCTCATGTGGGGCAGCCAACCCATAAAACTGTCTACTAACACTTGTGTGGGGTGTATCTTGTTTTTTCCCTCCAGTGACTGCCCAATGCACTGAAGGTAACATGGTGGTTGTTGTGTCAAAGGACATCACTTTGCCGTCTCTGATACTGGATTCAGTTAGTGTGGTTGGTGTGGATCCCACCTCGTGCCCTAGCTTGGCAATCTCAAAAACAAACTCATTTGTTGGCTTCAGGTTTCCTTTGTCATGCAGTGCTGTAAATCAGGTAAGGTAATCTTTCACTTAATTAGATTATGCAGATGGCATCCAAAAGTGACTCTGGAAATACTCTCCATTGGCTAGAAAATATTAGAAATGGTCTGATGTGGCTCTGACAATAGTCAGATGTGTTTTTTAAAATGGACTGAAGAGGTGTTGAGCAGCTAAACAAGCATTTGCCTAAAGAATTCTAGCAAGTGTACAAATCTTTTAAAACTACTCATGTTGGGCTCTAAGTTGCCATTAGGGCCTTTCACTATATGTATTCTATTATGATTTATATAGCGCCAACAGTTTGTGCAGTGCTTTGTAATTTCTTCCTTGCGTTGTAATTGCAATGCAAGACAAGATGGTATGGAGGGCCCTGCCCGTGAGGGCTTACAATTGAAACAGACCTCGGCAATGCAGCCTTTGCAGGGCAAATCCTTTAGTTCAGTATAGAGTAGCATGCACTTCAGAACTTCTGTAGTGCTAATTTTGGGATTTAACAGGGAGGTTATGGTCTTGCAGTGGGTAGCAAAAACAATTTAAAGTAGTGAACTGCCTCTGTACCAGGAAGTTGCAGGGTAAAAATGGAGGGATTAATCTTCCTATGTGGATGCACAGCAATAAACTTGAAAGGGTCTAACCTTCCACTCAAGTAAAAAGGTTTTGCCTAGAGAAGCAAATGTGACTTTCTAAAATGGTGGTGACTGGATTGTTTTGCTTTTTGGACAGGCATCTGACGGCATGAGTTATGAAAGTACACTTGTTGCAAGCAAACTGATACAAACATGGCAAGGATCCTCTGTCACAAGGGACAGTACAATGAGGTATGTTTAAACTAGTCTGCATGAATAAGTTGACACAAAAAAACTTCAAAAATGATTGCTGTATTAGTGCTAGTTCACACACAGTGCAGAGCAGTTACACAATGGATCAAAATTGCATCCAATGGTATTTTGGGCTCTAGTTAACACGAGTGTTCTGTCACAGAGCATGTGGAAAACTGCATATATATCTGTGCTCTGGAACGCAAATGCCCAGAAGGCCTATTTTAGGCAAAAATAGTTTTTTTACAAAAATGCACTGCATGTGCAGATCTGGTCTGCATTTGGTGTGAACAAGCCCTTAGTGGTTCAATCCTAGTCAAGTTACATCCCAGGCAAACCTTTCTAGAGCACTTCATGGCCAATTCATAATGTCCTTATTGAGTGGCGTGGTTTTTTTTGGTTTGATTTTGAAAATCTCATAAGTAGCAAGAGGTGTGATGTGCTGTCAATAAAATGCAACATTTAATTGCACTTGGCATGTATTTTGGGGGTAATTACTAAAGGGCATCTGCACAATTTTACAATTTAACTTTATTCATATTTGGAACAAAAGCCATGGCTGGCTCTAGTTGGCTGACTTCTATGAACATTAATATTGCCCTTTCTAGGTTGACTGTTCGCTGCACTTATGGAAAAACTGGAATGATCCCACTGCAAGTTGAAGTAGTAACCTTGCCGCCACCTCCTCCAGTGTCCACCCCAGGACCTCTTCTGTTGGAAATGAGAATAGCTACAGGTAATGTAGCTACTGCCAAAGGGAAATTAATGTTTTGGACTACACATCAACGTAGTGGTAAAGAATGCAGTGACTTGCCTGGCAGAAGTTAATGCATTAACCCCACCCATATCCTCCTTTCCAATCTTTCCTATAAAATTGGTCAGAAGGGAATCTGAAGGTGCTCAGTAACTGATCTGCTTGAGGAGAATTTATCAAAACGGGAGCAGACAAAATCAAGCGGCTGTGCATGGCAACCAATCGGTGTCTCTTCAGTTTGTTCAGTTGAGGTTTGACAATGAAAGGTGGATGCTGATTGGTTTCCATGCACAGCTGCTCCAGTTTTGCTAAATTCCCCCCACTGAATGTAAGATTGCTCACTGTCATGCTAACTCCTATCTTCAGCATTCTGGATCCCTGAGGTGACTACATACCAGGCCAGTTATCAGGTAATCAACTCATGGTTTTTTTTTGTGTTTTTTTTTTTTTTTTTTTTTTTTTTTTTTCATTCTATAGATATTAAGGTTCCCTGCCTTGTGGCGCAGCCCCAGTGTGATCAGGTGGAATCAATTGAGGGCTTGCTGTGGTTCATTTGCACTGGGAAGGTTTTGAATTTACACAGTAATCTGGGAATACCTGAATCTGAAGCACTAGCACACTTTAGGACAATTAGCATTTTCTGAAACTTGTTATTAAGTCTCAACACATCTGTAGACTGAATGCCAGTCAAGCTAAATGCCCAGGACCCCACATCAATCAATAGCTACATTTTTGCAAATCTGTCATGTGTAGCCTTGTGGCAACATCTGGTTGAACAATGGTCTCAATTGCTTGCACTTCCAGGCAAGCATTGAGGGTTATGTGCATTGGAACAGATTAAATCAAATTTATTGTGACCAGAGCCTAAGAATATAAGGTACCACACCCCCTAATATATCAAATCAACATGGAAAAGCAAGTGGGGCTTTTAAGGCACCAAGTGACAAAACCAAGTAATTACAACCTGATAAAATGAGGTTTCCTGTACAAAGGTTAAACTGTTTCAACATAATTGATATGTGCACATTGCAGAAAGGATAAAACCAATTGATCTCCAAATGAACTTTCTAGAATTATAATGAGGCTAGGTGACCATAATATACAAAACTGTAACATATTCTTGTAATCATACAGCACATGCCTCTTATATCAGGGATAGTAATGCTCTCCTAACACGTTTTTCATGTTCCAAGCACTGCCTCAGGAGTTGAAGGAGATCTAAATCATATATTAGGTGAGTATACTGAAAAGGATAACAGCCACCCACTTTGATTAACAATGAAATACCAGTAATATCCCATACCGTTCCCAGAGTAGTATCTGTGCAAGCCAGCAGAGCAAGATCGACATGCATTAATTTTGTATGTTGTGGTCACCTAGCCTCATATTATAATGCTGGAATAGCTCGCTTGGCAATCAATTTGTTTTTCCTTTCTGCAATCTGCACATATCAATTATGGTTTAACCTTTTGTATAATGTGTTTTTGTTTTGTCACTTGGTGCCTTAAAAGCCCCACTCTTTTCCATGCTGATTCGTGCATTGGAACAGACTGATATCTGCTTTCTGACACTGGAAGATGGTGCAATATACTTGCAGATGCTGCTAAGAAGCCACAACATTTTTCTGGTGTCAGGACATGTAAGTTGTGACACAATGGGGTTGATAAGTCTACTGGTCATGCAGTGCGTATGTAACGGTAGGAGTCAACTGTTTAAGAGCATAGTAAACTATTCAATACAAAGGCTTTACCCATGCTGTTCTGAAAATGTGGGCAACTCCACTTTCACCTGGTCTTGATCAGAACTATCTGTAACCTCAGTTTTTACTGATCCTTTCCACTACAGTCAAATTGTAAAGCTCTAAATGACTATACATTCATGTGAGAACTAGAAGCTTGCACAGTGCTAACAAATTCCTAAACTGACCTGCTTTTTTGTAGCTTGACCCTGCTCTCCCCTGAACAGTGTGCAAGAACACCCCCCCCCCACCACGTATTTTTGCTCTTAAAGCTTACTTACTCTGATTCTTGCAGATGGAGCGTATAATTCATACTTTGCTGATGGAGATTACCCTGTGGTCAAAGTGCTCAGAGAACCAGTTTACCTGGAGGTTCGGATTCTGAACAGGAATGATCCTAATTTGGTTCTTATCTTGGACAACTGCTGGGCCTCAAACTCTGCTAGCCCTACTGATTATCTGCAATGGCCAGTTCTGTTTAACAGGTAGTCACTTGTGGATGAAAGGCTTGTGGGACTACAACACATTTAGTTTAGTCTCATAAAATGTTTTTTTGTTTTCTCTAAGATGCCCTTTCCCTGGAGACAACTACCTCACTCAAGTGATGCCTGTTGGCACACCTACACAGAGCATGCCTTTTCCAGCCCACTACCAGCGTTTCATGGTCAGCACCTTCACTTTTGTGGCTCCCGACACTCAGGTTGCACTTAGTGGACTGGTAAGACATTCTACATGTAACACTGGTTAAAAAGTTAGTTGGTAGTAACTAAAAAATCTTATACAAGAATTTGGCTTTAAATGCTACTTTAAAAACTTTAGCAAGTGAAGAGATACTGAATAGCCATTAGTTATTTAATGTTGTATTCATGTGTTACAGTTGAGGGTGGTTTTTAAGATGGTAAGTGGGGGAAGTTGCATGGTAGGGGATAGATGTAAATTTTTATTCTCTTAAAATGGAAGTCTGAGGCCCAGGTGAAAAGCAGTAACGGCTAACTGTGTCTACAGGTTTTCTTTCACTGCAGTGCCTCAGTATGTATCCCATCTGCCAGAGACTCCTGCAGTGTGAATTGCTCACAAAAGAAAAGTAAGACTGATTTTAATCCTTATTAAATCATATAAACATTCTGCTTATGTAATCCCAATTGCTAAAGCTAGTCTCTGACTTAAGAGCTGGCAGTAACATTAACAATACAGTGCTTACTCTGGTATGTCACTTTTTTTTGACTTGCCAGAATTAGTAATTGTATTGCAGCTAGTCTAATATCAATGTCTAAATCTGTCAAATATCATGTCTCATGTCTCAGTAGACTTAAGTGCCTGTACAAATGTATGGTCTCCTATTGCAGGGAGAAATGCTGATGTGGTTCTAGGACAATCGCTAATGGTTACTTCTGATGGCCCTGTGATCTTCAGTGGGAATGACAACACTGCTGAAAGTGAAGGTGAAATGGGGACAGGTGAGCAGCTAACAATGTTTAAAGGGACTATCTGAATTGAGTCTGTTCACAAATGGTGCATTTTATCTGGACTGGTCACTATCTTGGGCATAGCAATATGAATGACCCTTGTTGCTCCCCAGGACACTTCCCTGAGGTGCACTGGTGTTTAGTCAAGGCTTGACTACAGTGGATGCATGTACCCCAGCAGCTTCAGTTAACTTCATTCTGCAAATTTGTAGGCTTGGCATCTGTTTTCAGGGCTGCATACCTGGCCTATTCACATACATTGTTTAAAGGCAGTCCATTCACTTAAGGTGCACTGCCATCCCATTCTAACACCAAGCATAACGAATGTTCTCAATGACCTGCAACATGTCATATGTACAGATTTGTGAATTCAAAAATGAGTGCCCCGTGGTGTGCATGCTGCATAATCCAGCAGTGTGAATGTTCTACAGTGTAGGTAATACGCAAAACATATTTTGGCTGAAGAACCCTACTAACTGCAAAATGGCTTATGGCTTATGTCTTAAGCATTACAGTAGTCCCTAATGTGCCTGTTGGCAGCCTGGGAACTACTTTGCTTTACCTGACTTTAGTAATGCGGGAGAAATGTATTTCTCCACCATGGGAATCTTGCTGTGTGGTTGCTACTGAGCTTGGACTAGAAAAAGTTGAGCACACATAGGTGTGTGATGCATAGCCCCAAATTCTCAAAGCTGAACAAATATGGGTGTCCCCTCTCCCATCCCTACAGCTATTGGTAAGGGTCAGGTGCTGCTTTTAGCACTGTCTCAAACTTGATGTTGTCCTGAAACACTAAATGGCTAAATATAGCTTATCACTTGTACATGATAGCTAATGTTGTAACTATTTACTATCTTCCACTAGATGACTTCAGTTCTGGCTCTTCAATGCTCTGGCTGAAAGGAACGGCGGCTGTTGGTGGTGTATTGGCAGTAATCCTTGTGACTATTAACCTGTATAGAAGAAGAGTTGAAGATCAAACAGACTTGTCTACTGTAAATGCTTAAATAAATCACTTTTTTTTTTCTACAAACCTGTCTTGTGGCTCTATTAAGGGAGTTATCAGATCAAACGTAACTTTATGCATAGCTATTGCTCAGGTTGCTTAGAACTTATCAAATGAGGGTATCTAGGAGCTGGCAACCCATACAAATGGGTGAACACTGCAGAGATAGGTTAAATGGCTGACATCAGTGGATCACTGCTAACCTTGGCTTTTAATCTTTTTGACAACTGGTTAGTTGCCTTTTCCAGCACAATGAAAAGGCTTTCGCCCATAACATGGCTCTTCCACAGCCACCTTACAAAGGGCAGAACTGATCTTGGCCCGGCCCAGAACAAGGTCAAATGGGGCTCTACGCAGGCTACACTAACTTGCCAACTGTGGCTAGCTTGCACTAACTTAATTTACCTCTTGCTTTATCATGAACAGTACAAAACCACACACGCATGCACCTCACGTCCAAAATGCTTTATGGAGTAGATTCAAAGACTTCCTTCCCACCAGTCTCTGAAAGAGGACCTGAAAAATACAATAAGGCTTAACAGTATTTAGACTTCAATGCTAAAACTGTTCATACATATGATACTTTGGGGGCTTAACTATTTTGATTACTGTCAGAAGTGGTTGACACTCTCCTATGGTATATAAAAGGTAGGTGTTCTTGATGGAGGCATCAAGGGTCTATTGGCCATGTAAACAGAAGAGGTCCTGCTTTACACCCTGAACACGCTGGAAGTGCTCATTGCCTCAGGAAATTGGAGGTGAAATGGACCACCGCACTCCCATGTCTAACTTCTGGCTTTCCCATGTCAAACCTCTGTTAGACATGGGAAAGCAAGCTGAAACCATAGCGGATTTCTGTTTGGGGCCCTAGATGGTTGCTGCTTTGTGAGGAGTAGTCTACCCTTTTCCACTCCTGCCACAGATGACTGTAATAGGCAATCTTATCCAAAGCCATCCAGTGTCCTCTGCTCTTCCCAATAGATCCTGCTGTCTTTGGCCCCCTCATCACCCCCGCGATCTCCTCCTTTTAGACTATTTGTGAGTGGCATTTCAGGGAAGCCTGTGCCACCTCATCTTGAACTGTCAATCTACTCCATTCCTCAGCCTATCCCTCAGTTATTACCTTTTTATCACTTGCCCCTCGAAGATCCTAAACTCTGACAAGTAGGGTCCTTCAAATCCTCATACTGCCTACTTATGTTGTAAACTGCTGATTCTATAAAAACCTGTATAATCTTATAGGTGCATTGATAAGGGTGTGTGCTAGATCAGATATTGCTAACTTTAATACACCTGCCACATAAAGGACTGCTTGTAAATTGATCATTTTCTAATGTATGACTGCTGTTACACTGCATTTGTCTTATCAGTTAAGACAACTAAAAATTGCCTAAACAAAACTGTCAACACTAGAAATCCCATTCATTCCCATCCCCTGTTCGCACCTGAGTTTTGTTGTAAGCTGTAAAACTCCAAATGCTTGAAGGTATATGAGCTGCTTTTGGGCGGATTACAGCACATTTGTCTGCATAGACTTCAATGGCAGCGCATTAAAATGCACAACACAGTTTGCACATTTTCTGTGTGCGGTTTATGCACATTTCACACACGTTTCCTCATTCGCAGCAATGCATTTTGACCAGCTCTATAAAACGCACTTTTGTTCATGCATGTCTAAAGTGCACACCATGCGAGAAAAAAAAGTGTGTGGTTTATACACAAATGCTGACGCCTAGGTGTGAATGGAGACTTAATGCTGCAGGGGTTGTGGGAATACCGCTACTCATGCCCATATCTGGTGGCATTGGCCAATCCAATTGTCAGATCTCTAGATTTATAGAAGACATCCAGGGACTTTTCTTTTTTCCCCTTTGATCCATGAGTTATGTTTCACTGTACAGGCGATCCAATAGTTCACTACATAGTATATTACCCCTCATTTAATGAATGCAGCCGAGTCACTCATTCCCCTATACTGAAGGCAACTGACTTCCCCCCCACCTCTAAAATCCTGGTTTCAGAGAATTGACCAAACTTGTTTGCTATAAGATCTAACACATAGTCGCAAGAAAACCTAAGAGCGCTTCAGTAGAACAAAGGCCTTTTGGTTCTCCTATAAGACTACTGTATTTTACCTGGATACAATGTCGCATACCTAAGTTAGACCTTTTTTTGTTACTCATTTCCATAATTTTGATGTCTTACACTTGCATCCTCCGGCCTGTGGTCTGGTTAATGGTAACCCTCACTCTTTTTTTTTTTTTTCTTTTGTGTCTTTGCACAGCTGTTCATGTGCTCATCATGACATAACGGAAGATCTTCATACCACTAACATGCGAATGTAAAAGTTTTAAAGAAATTTTGGAGTTGTGACTTCTTATTGTCAATCAACATTGTCTGTACAAGTAACATGACTGATATTTCATAAAATGTACAACACTAATTAAAAAAAATACTTATTTTCTTACCATCCAAGTTCCCGCAGTGTCCAAAGGTATCCTGCATTATCATTTAAAGTCATATGCTCAGAAGGGAGGAACATGCCTTGGTCCCACATGCAACAGCATTGTTTCACTCATTTCTATTCAGACAGGAGGAACATGCCTGGGTCCCACATGCATTGTTTCATTCAATCCTCTTGTACCCTCTGCAGCACATACATTTTAATCAAGCTTCATAATTCTTATTGGGAGTTCTGCTAGAAAAATGAGAGGGAGAAACATTTAGGTTCTTAAGAGGGACTGTCCCCGCTGCACCCATTTAGGACAGCAAGCCGATGCAGAATCCTGACAACTTTTGCTGGTCTGCACAGTTGGCAAGGACAGAAATGTGTCAGGGAACACAGGATTTTTTTGCAGATCTGTTAAAGCAAAAGTCTATATTAAAAAAAAAAAATGGTTGGAGGGGTAGTTTTTTTTTGGTGGAAGATACTTGTATACATGATCTACAAAAAAAAAACAAATTTACCTTGCGAGCACGTTTTCTTCTGTGCGTATACTACTTGTGGCTCCTAACTAAGAGGTAAGTCTGCCATAATGTGCAAGTATGATATGCATATCTGCACATTATGGCAAGAGCTCCCAAGCACCTCCACCCCCTGTACAGTTCTGCCTAAAAAGGTTGACTACTGAAAATCAGGGACACCTGGTCACATTAAAAGTTATGGAAATCTGGAAAAATCAGAAAGAAAATACACAATGCATACATTATTTAGTAGCACAGTACAGTGGGCCGCAAGACACATGAACGTTTAGGAAATCTGCCTTATGTGCTGGTAGATGTTTGTATTGCTCTGTACGTGTGCAGACATTTGTCTTATAACTACTTAGTATTTTGGCCAACATATATTTTGACTTTGTCCTCTGTGGAGTAACAATTGGGCACTGGAAAATGCCTGACTTATCTCTGTAGATCTGGTTTATTTTGCTTGGATCTGCCTCCACATTTAATAAATGTTTACCAAGATTACACAGAATTCTTGCCAACACTTTTTTTGTTATTGTAAAGCTATGTTAATATTTTGGGACAAAAGTTTCCAGTACCTTGAAAATGTTAAATATAAAGTTTGTAGGTCTTCTGGAAGGTACAATGGATGTGCCCTTCCCCAGGCTTAATACTGGTGATATTGCAGTGGCAGTTCTTGGGTTCCAGGTCTTCCATCTTTCAATGATCAAAGGTCAATTTGTGTATTGCCTTGACATGTTTTCTGATTAGCTCTTGGGCCTACATGTTTGGATCTGATTGGTGGGACTATATGTTTGCATGTTGGTTGGTGGCCCAACATATTTGAAGTTTATCTTGTGGGTCTGTTCGCAAGTTAGGTTTGTTAGGGCCATTTAAAAAAGTTTTTTAAAAAGGCATTTACCTTGGTTAGTAGAACATGGGGCTTACCTAGAGACTTAAAGTGACACTAAACTCAGGAGAAATCTTACAAATGTATTCAAGTACCTTAGTTATTAACAAAATTGCACCTTCAGTTAGGGATGTTCAGATACCAAGTACCGTACTCAGTAAAAGTACAGATACTTTTCCAGCTCCTAGACTAGAGAAATATTAAAAAGTTAAAAAGTTAGGCGGCAGCTGTCATTTTTTAAGGATCATACGGAGCTCCTGGGATTTGGGCATTTCTGTTTTAATGTGCGATTTTTTTTTTTTTTTTTTAAATATAAATATTTGGGATACACCAATTACCCTTTAAAGTACTAATACTAGTCCAAGTACTGATATGTTTTTGTTATGTGACAGTTTTTCTAAAACAATACAAACTAATGATTTCAGGACAGTGGTGGAGTGCCAGAGTCAGGTCCCAGCTACAACCCTGGTAGTTCTTGTGAACATGCCAAGTATCTGCACTGGTATCTGAACATCTCTACCTTCAATGATGGACTACAATCATGTTTAGTTTCCTAATTTGTATTAAAATTTTAGTCTATCACAAGAGTGAGCATGGAGCGGTTTCTACTTTACAACACACACAGGGACCATGGGGAACAAAAGTAGCCACCCTCCAGAAGGCAGGACAGTGTCATCATGAAGTCAGAGATTTGAGGATCTACAGCCGAGTGATTCACAAATAAGATACATTTTTGTTAATAGTTAAGGTACTTCAATGTATTAAAATTTAACTGCTAAGTTTAGTGTCACTTTAAAAGCAATGGAGGTGGGCTGTTAGAAGTTCATATATCAACTCTGATGGTCTAGAACAGTGTTTCTCAGCCTGATTAAGTTGTAGAACCCTTTTTATAACAAAGAGGTTTCAAAATAAATACTTTTACCATACCACTGAACTCTGCTCTGTTCCAGAAGCAATGTTACCCTGACGTATATTGGGAAGCTAAACCTTCGAAGAGTGTTGGTATCTTGGGTCACAGCTCTCACTGGGATCTCCCGCTGGCATTCATAAATTACAGGATACAGTACTTATGTGGAGATCAGCAGGAAAAACCAGTGAGAGCTGCGGAGGGCCCAAGAGATTGACACTTCTAGAAGTGTTGATTCCCAGTAGACTTCAACCACTCCTCTAAAACAAGGCATAATGTGGCTATTCAGGGAGCGGAAAAGGTAAGCATGTACACTCTTTTGCAGAAAATATGTTTCTGGGGATTTTTGCATACATAACAGGATCACTTTAACATATATCCCTAAAAATATAACATACAAGTGAGTTGTGCTAATACCCCATACATGTGTATTCTTCCACAAAATAAACACACCCTTATCATTTATTATTTAGCTGAACTTTTAACTCAAACTTTTACACCAAATTACGTGAATTTGGAAAACATACCCCTTAAACCTTTGGGTTAGTGCGACAGCCAGGGAAGTGACATGACAATTAAAATAAAGATGAAAAAAATATATATATATCTTGTTGAGAAGAAAAAGGAAAAAAGTAGAGCAAACTGGAAGCTAATTGGTTTAAGTAAAGGGCACACTGGGCTTTTCTTTTTTTTTTTGTGTGTGTGTGTTGAGGTGTGCTCTTTTACCACAGCCTATTTGTATTGAATGTGCCCCAATGCAGCAAATTCTTTGGGAGTTTATAACATTTATCTAAGAAATAAATTAACTGGTCACCTTCAAAAGAAACCGTTGATTTAAACTTTTCAAAAAGCTAGTTATGGGACAAGAAAGCTACATAGAGAATATACACCAAGCTTGTCAAGTTGGCGTATTTTGGGTCATATGCAGCCCTTTCACAAGCTTCTTTCCTGGCATCTCCACGCCATCACACTAACGAGGTATGGGGGTTAACCAATTAAGACGAGTCAGGAAAGGAAAACTATGGAAAATATTTGGACATGGATTTTCCATTTGCTGTACCTTGGTCAATTGAAGAATTCCAGTTTGGCTGAACTCCAGCCAAAAATAAAACAAACTAAACAAAAAAATAGCCCATTACACAAAATTAAAATGCAATGGTGCTATCCTTACCTAACGTCCATCAAGAGCTGTCTTCAACAGTACTTTTTTTTTTTTTTTTTTTTTTTATACCCCCCTTTTTTTTTTTTTTTTTTTTTTTTTTTTTTAATAAATCCCTCTGTTTTATTTAAGTTTCACATGCCAGCAACCATTTGATCCTGTGCCCTTCATGTGACCATCCTGAATGGTATGATTTATGTAAACTCACCTGGGATTTCTGCCCATTGATAAAAGGCAGCCAAGATAAATATGTAGCATCAACCAGTTCTATATGAATTAACTTGAAATTCTACCATGCTCTGTACAACCTTCAAATGACCTAAACAGCCTAATGTTGTTAAGATAATGCTATACCAATACTAGTGAAGTCTTTCCAACCATAGGCCTTGACCATTCTTCAAATATCAGAAGATTTCAGCAGATGCATTCCATTGCTGATCCAGATAGAAAAGGGCTTATCTAGAACCCTTAATGCAATAAAACCTTTCTACTTTATGAAAACACCAATACTCTGCATAAAGGTGCCCATACACCTGCCGATTATGGTACGATTATCGCGGGTGATCTCGCGATCATACGATAATCGGCAGGTGTATGGGCAGCGTGCGACCTCTTCTACTGTAATGTTGCACGACATTCGTTTTCCAAGCACGCTTGAAATCCAGCGGGTTAGTGGCGTGCTCAGGAGACGCCAGAAGGCACCCCAGGGTTGCATGGCACCCTGGTTGAGAAAGGCCGCACTAAGCCATCGTATCTCATACCTTTGAAAATTTTGTTTTTCTTTTTCGTGGTAGTTTACAATGTTGTTGGGACTATAGTATGTCCCCTTACTGGGACATTCATGGATAACGTACAGTATATTCATTTCTAAACAATCTTGTGAGGGACACATATTGGGATACAAACAATTCCATTCTGTAGCAGCAGAGGGCAGCATAGTCCACTATTTACATGTAGATGTCATTCAATTGATAAACTACTACTACAGGGGCTTGGCAGAAATGACATGCCATTAGCTGGTTATGCTCTATGGTGAGAGATGATAAGGAAATTAATTTGTACAGTGAGATTGTAATCTTTGTGTTTTTCTTGGACTCCTTCCTAGCTGCTGTGCTTTTATCTGCTGATAAGCACTATGCAGTGATTGCAGTGTGTACCTATTTGCATGTGGATGTATTTATAAGGAGAAGGAGGTGTAGGTGAGATGAATCCTCAGTGTAGATCCTGAGCTGCATTTTCTCTGCTGGTTGCCTGTGACTGGACTCCTCCTCTGTGCAGTAACTATGGCTAAGATTGCCCTCTGCTTTCTGGTTGCTTTTGCAGCTCTCGCACATTTCACTAATGCCTATAAGTGGAAGACATGGAGCCTCAGTACGGTAAGCGATGGTGGGGGGATGGCTGGTTGAGGGTCAGTATTTTCTAGATCAGCAAACTATACATCTCACGATTCAGGCTCATTCAGTTAGCATAGCTCCCAACTGTCCTTTATTTGGAGGGACTGTCCCTCTTTTGGAATCAAATACCTCTGTCTCTCTTACCTGCTCAGTTGTCCCTCTTTTTGGTCTGATATATAGACCTCTGTAAAGAATGAACTATTTCACCACCAGAGGTGTTATAGTGTACTGAACCTTTAATCCTACGTGCAAAGTATTACATTTGATATTTTGAAAAGCCAGTATAAGGGAAAAGTAGTTGTAATAGAGCAGTAGGTTTAACCAGTCATTTTCACAGCTGTACAATGCAACGTTGCATACACGATGCAGTGCCTTTTTACTGCATTGTGGTTGGGCAGCCATTCATTTAGGCGTCGTAGTGCTTGAAAATCACATGTACATGAAAATCAAATGAAAAAAGTGCATTACCCTTTTTGCGTCACATCAAAATGCATGGTAATAGGTTACCGTGCATTGTGGTATGACGCAATGCACATGCGCTGGCTAGGTGCGTTGGAGTGCCATTAGGAAAAAATTTCACCGCAGCGCAACCAAACTGTAACGTGATCTTATACATTGTGGGAACGCTTGCGGGAACGTTCCCATATCTCATAGATGTGAACAGGGCTTACTGTTTTGTGTTCTGCAAAACTAGGGGTATGGCTGGCGGAGTCCTTTGCCTATATACTTTGTGTTAAATGGTGTCCCTCTTCTCAGAAAGTTAAAGCTGGCCTGTAAATTGGCTAAAGTTCAGGCCATAGGTGGCCCTGTTGACCCCCCCCCCCTGGATTGTGAAACTGGGTGGAAAACTGTTGGCCAAACAGTTACTTTAGTCACTATTTGGGTATACAAGCACCCGCACTACTGCGGCTTCTTGTATACAATAGCCTGCAGCGGGAGATCATCTGTCCAGGTTTAATGTGCCCACACACCTTACGATAATCGCGGGAAATCCCGCGATCGTGCGATTATCGTAAGGTGTGTGGGAGCCGTGCGACTTCTGCTACTGTAAGGTCGCACGACTTTTACCTTAGGAACATGTTCGAAAACTAGTCGAACATCGTACGATGTTCGGCTGGTTTGTGGCATGTTCGCAAGATAGAAGCCGCACGGGCCGGTGTGCGCAAGCGCACACTGCCCGTTCAGCATTGCGGTCATCGGAAGCCCTCCCCTCAGCAGGGCGGGCTTGCGGTCATCGCAAGTACGATCTGCCTGTCCAAGATAGGCAGATTGTACGTTTTTTTCATTACCTTACAACCATCGCAAGACAAAAGTCTTGCGATGGTTGTAAGGTGTGTGCCCAGCCTTAGTTGGAATGATGGAGTTCATTAGTTCAAATCCCAGCTAGGTCATTATCTGCAAGGAGTTTGCATTTTCTTCCTGTGCTTGCATGGGTTTGCTCCGGGTACTCTGGTTTCCTCCCACACTCCAAAGACACGCTTAATGGCTACCAGGATTCATGGTTGGCATATGCTCCAGCGGATCTAGGACCTCTGGTAGGTTTGTGCAATTGTATTATTGTCGGTCAATCACAATTCTTCACCTATAGATGTTTCTTTTTTTAGCTAATGTATTAAGACAATCTTTAAAATAAAGCAATATTATTGACTCTCCAAACCTTCCCTCCATACAGCAAGTGAAAAGTATCACCTGGGAGAACTGCGATTCAGGGAAGCTTCCAGGCACAATCAAAAGTCTGTCCATTACCCCTGACCCCGTCTCTATCCCAGGAGAGGTAACCGTCTCTGTGGTATTGAATACAGAAGTCCCTCTGAGCTCTCCCCTCCAGGTAAGGAATCATCCGTAACATCCCAGATTAGTAAATCTGTGCAAAACAGCATTTACATCCCATAGTTGGTAACACTGAATAAGATAACATGAAAATAATGAGGTTCATTCATTTCTATAACACGTATATGCTGGGTGGCATGCTAATCCAACCTGTGACGGAGGTGCCCATGGTAATGCCTCTTCTCTACAAGCCAGCCATGACCAGGCCAGGCATTTCCTGTCAGACTGACATTGGTTTTCTTCTTCAAAAAACAGATCAAAATCACTGCGGAGAAGGAGCTGTTCGGTGAATGGCTGACTGCCCCCTGTATTGATCATTTCGGCAGCTGTACCTACACCGAGGTCTGTGATCTGCTGGATGCTTTCTTTAAACCAGGACAGCAGTGCCCAGGACCCCTCCATACCTATGGACTTCCCTGCCACTGTCCATTCAGAGCTGTGAGTACCTTCTGCTTAGTAGCTCAAAAGTCAGACTCTATGCAAAACCGCACTTTTAGTTTTGGATGAAGCAGCTGTCACAGCGCTCCCTCCAGCCTGTCTCCTCCTACACTGAAGCAATGGTGTGTCCCTCGGTGTCCTTGCATCCTATAAACTGTGTATAGAACGTGATGACACAGGGACTTCAGGGGGGAGGCGAGGCTCCAGGGACCGGTCTAACATCAAGCATCGGGTGAGTATAACTTTATTTTATTTAAACTTTATTTTTAGTTTATAACTTTATTTGATTGAGTCCCTAGATGAAAACGAGCAGTTAACCCTTGCAGTGCAGGGGTAACGCCACTGAAACGGTTCTTAAAGCTGACAGGGGTTATAACACCCCCTTTCTCTATCCAAAATAATTTAAAAAAAAAGTTTTGGCTTCAGATCTACTTTTTCCCGGAGTTATTCTTTAAGTGACAGTGATCACCAATGGATACATTCAGACTGTAACCCCAATACTGGGGCAGTGCCAATAAAGTATAATGAACTTGTAATGTCATATCAATTCTTCAGCTTATGCTATTGAGAGAGTTATATATGTGCATGTTCTCATGGATGCATGGGCAAAGTACACATGTGGGTTTGTGTACTTAGGCCTCATTCACACAGCTAAGAGCCGGCCCGTACAGATCCGTGCAAGGTGCACGGCCGTATCGGGCCGCTCCCGGTAAGTACAGGTTCTGCGTGTGATTGTATGCAGCAGCCTGTTCTTCTCTATGGGAGTACGCGGCCATACACTCACCCGAGCTGCACATCCATGCGGGTGTCCGTACTCGTACGCAAGTAGATTTATTTATCTTTACTACTGAGTGCTGGTGATTTCCTGACTTTCCCGTACTCGTACGCAGACAGGATGCATTCTGTCTGCGTCCGAGCAGGGACACCCGCACGGATGTGCAGTTCGGGTGAGCGTACGGTGGCGTACTCCTATAGAGAAGAACAGGCTGCTGCATACAATCACACGCAGAACCTGTAGTTGCACGGATCTGTACGGGCCGGCTCTTAGCTGTGTGAATGAGGGTAAACATGGAAAATAGTCATTGTAAACTGATTTTCTGAAGCAGAAATGCATAGCAGATTAGAATATATTTCCATGCTAGTTAGACTTTTAGGGGTTAATGAAAGCCTGTCAATAGAGAAATACGGAGAGAGGCCGTCATTCCTGGCCTTCTACTGACAATGCCAGTTAAAGTCGGGCAACTAACATTTTTCTAATCACTGTAGTACTGCAACAGAGTTACCGGTACAATAGATTAAAGCAGACCTCAGGACAGAATTTTCCTTAACCCCTGCGGTGGCGCTACCCCTGCACTTCAATGGTTAAATTATAGTTTTTGCTTAGGTGCTAAATAAAAAGAGTTATACTACCTGATCCTCGGAGCCGGCTTGCTCTTACACTGGTCCATGGAGCCTCACTTCCCCTCCGCTGCAGCGCTCTAAGGTCCTGTAAATGTTCACATTCTATACAAAGTGCAGCGTAGGAGGAGACAGGCTTCAGGGACTGGAGTCGCGGGCAGCCAGCTTGGTGGTTTGGGTGAATATAACTTTTTTAGCACCTAGACAAAAACAAGCACTTAACCCTTGAAGTGCAAGGGTAACCCCACTGCAAAGGTTAAAAACACTGTTGCCCATTTTAACGTGACCCACATTTACCCCCATACTCCTATCCTCCCTTCGAGAGCATGCCAGCATGATTTTTTGTTGTTGTTGTTGTTGTAGAAAGAAACAGCTTTAATTACTTCTTGTGACATGATCACCTTGTAAAATTCTTGTGAGGGATCTTCTAAGAGCTCACCTCTGCCTGACATAGGCATACCCCCAGAACTACATCTCTCAAGAGCCCTTTCTCTACGCACACTGTGTGGGCAGGTGCTTGGGAGTCAAGGCAGCTGCATTGTTTTGCTAGGAAAGAAAAACAGGAGATAGGCAGAGTTCTGTAGACTTGTCAGCACATCTAGCAGATCGTTTTTCTGTATTTGCAGCATTGTTAAAGGGATACAACAGGGAAATGTGCGGGTATTGCAGAGATATACTGAGCATGCAATATATATGGACAGACACCTCCTCTTCTAGAGGTAGTTTTACTGGTAGCATTCTCTCTGTTGTGTGGATACTTCATATCAGTGTTTTAGCCCAGACTGTGCATACTAAAGTATTTACATATTATGAACAATCAAGAAAGACACTTTATACCAAGCTTTCATTCACCTCTGTAGCTAAAGACACCGTGGAGACATTGTTAAAGTTCACAACATAGACACTGAAATCTTAGCTTTCATCTATGAGACCAGAATTTTGACAGCCTGTCAGTCTTCTAATATAATAAAAAGCAGCTAGTGTATCTAAACCAGAGGTGAGTAACTCCAGTCCTCCAGCTGTTGTGGAACTACAAGTCCCATGAGGCATTGCAAGACTGACAGTTAAAGGCATGACTCCCAGAGGCAGAGGCATATTGGGATTTGTAGTTAAAGCACAGCTGGAGGGCCGGAGTTGCCCACCCTTGATCTAAGCTGTTAGAAACCAACTTCAGAGTCTTTGTTGTGATCTTTGAAGATCTTTAAAGGAGAACTATGGGGTCAGTACTCTTCCCCATAGTTCTCCTCAGGGTCACGGGAAGGACATAAACTAGCATCCTCCCGTGACCCAAAGCTCAGTATACCGCGAGCTGTATACTGAGACCGCCGCAGCTGGGACGGATCCCGACATTACTGTTCAGATCCACCCAGCTGCGTGATTGACAGCTGGCTCTGCCTATCTAGAGGCAGAGCCAGCTGTACCTGCCCCCTCGTTCGTTCCTCCAGTCAGTGCTTGAGGATCGGAGCGGGGAGGGGGGGAATCCCTGCAGGGAGTCGTGAGTGACAGTCACGACTCTCTGCAGGGACAGGATCGAGAAGTGAGCGAGCAATGGTATGTATTCGCTCACCTCCCGATCTATTGAGTCGACCTGTGACAGTTTCATTGTCACAGGTCGGCTAGAGCTATGAGCTTGAGTGAAAATCACTCACCTCATAGTTCTCCTTTAAGAATGAATTACTTCACAATACAAGCAGCTAGCGAGGTCAGGGATGTCTTGTTTTAAAGCTTTTTTATTGGTTGTTAAGAATATGTCAAATGTTTAATTTTCTCAGTCTGGGCACAGGTCCTTTAAAAAGTCCTTTGATCTTCTATACAGTAATAGCACCCATTTTCTCTTTCTTTGTGTCTCTATTCTAGGGCTCCTACAGTCTCCCAACCACCAGCTTTAAGATACCCAGCTTTTCTCTGCCATCATGGCTTGCTGAGGGCAACTACAGAGTGACTGGAATCCTAACCCACAAAAATCAGGAAATTGGATGTGCCAAATTTACTTTCTCTCTGGCCGAACCCTCCTCCTGGTGGTGGTAAGAAGGACGCCTCATTTCACTGGAACAAAGAAGATCTTATCAATCATTTGATTAACTCTCATCTCTGACAATAACAGACTCTACTTTCAGTCCTCCCTGTCCCTCTCTTCCTCAATGGTGCCTGCACATTAAATGGAGCCTCATGAATCAGATTTTACACGGTCCATTTTGAATCTGCTTCGTGCTTTTTTAATAAGTATCAACCAGCTTGGAAAATCCATTAGAACGGTCCATTTTTTCCTTCTAGGATCAGTTGCCTATGGATTATCTTATGAGGGCAACAAGCACCCAATTATAGACATGCAAATGTTTCAACCATTCCCCTATCGGTTGGATTGGGCGGCTCATCTAATGCCCATGTCTATATTTGCTTTGTTGCCACATGGCCCAGGCTTGGTTCATTCAAACAAACAGAACCTCCAGCTCTGACTACTGATCAGACTGGAATTTCACAGTCGAAAGTAAAAACAAAACAAACAAAAAAGCTGATGTCATATGAGCATTTTGGAATGCTTAATTTATTTTTTTTTTTTTTTCTTAATAGATATCATATCAATCTCACACATCGAGGCATTAACGTTCAAAGTTAAAACTTTAAAAAATAGTTTTGGATAGAGTGAAGAGAAATTAGATCCTTTTTCAAGTTTTTATTACATATGGGAGACTCACCCTCTCTAATTGTCCTGGTTATCACTGAACGTGAAGTAAAAGAAAATCCCAAATTTTGCGTTGTCACCAAAACAGAAATAGATAAGAAATCTTCCAATGAGCACACTAGTTCTGGTTAGCCTGCTGGCCACCAGGGATTTCCCTCACTTTGGAGGGATTTTCTCTCACTTCCTGTTGTGGCTACTAGAGAGGAAGTGAAGGGAAATCTCCCTCATGTGACACAAATGCCAGAAAAGCTGACAGGGGTTATAAACCCCTCTTTCTCTATCCAAAACTTTAAAAAAGTTTTGGCTTTAGTTCTACTAAAGGTTTTACTTTAATTACTATACATATGGATATGGTACAAGCATCAGAAAAAAGTATTTTCTTCTTTCTCAGTTTTGCATATTTGTTACATGGAAAAACATGTTTGGGTGTCTCGGCATGCCAAATGAGAATATTTGTGGGCTATTTAATAAAAATACATTTGCAATGATGTGTTTTAACCTTTGGTACCCAATCAAAACTCTGCACACCATTCTTTTTTCACGGTTTTATTAAGGTTCTTTGTGTTCCGAAAACATTTCTGAAGTTTCAGCTGTCAAAATTCAATCTCACTATTACCCAAAAAATGTATCTCTTTACAGAAATGCTCCTGTTTATAATCATTGTCCAATCAGAAACAATAAAGTTCTTTCAACTTTAAATGTATTCCTTTGACCTGTTTCTTTTTTAATCACATACATTTAGGGCCCATTCACATTTGTGTGTTGCATGAATCTTTCACATCCACATCCATATTTTCTCTGAATAGCTGATGTGTCGAGTAAGTGACCCGATGTCTTTTCAGAGCAGAGGGGAAGTCACTCTGCACAACGGCTGTAAAAGCTCTGGCTACCACAGTGTTTTAGAGCAGTGCTTTTTAACCTGTGTAACCTCAGAACCCACATTTGTCCTTGGTCCTTGGACCTGAGTTACAGGTGCGTTTGGGGTGTCATTCAAATGAATGGCAAGGCAACGCACCTCCTGTACCAGAATGCGTGGTACAAAGTGTTAATTGCACGGGGCTGTGCAGATGTACTAGTATGAACTGGCCCTAAAAAACACTGACAGACGTACACAATCAAAGATACATTCTGTGTTTGCCTGATTAAGGGACCATGTGCGGTTTCCGAAACTTAGCATGTCACTATGTTTGCCTATCGTCTTAATAAAAAGGATGTTCGGCACATTTGACCTTTGGAGTACAGGTGACTTTTTCAATAGAGCTGTAAGCAATCCATGTATGGATGGCGCTCCCTCGCGGCCATACCCCCAGCCTACCTTACCTCACCTCAAGCTGACACTCTGTGCCGGGCAGCATATTTGAATGGCTGCTTAGCGCGAGAACTGACAGTGCTGGGCTAGGGGGAGGCTGAGGAGCCTCTCACCTAGCACAGTGGAAAGCACGCTGCGACTCACCAATTGAGAACCACAGTTTTAGAGGATCCCTGTGGCCCTACCAGGTATAATGCTGGGCCAAGCTGGACCAATTTAAGTATGTATGAAAAGTTACAATGGGAGCTTCTCCAAAGGCCTGTCAGGGTAACACATCCTCTACAATAAATTCAAACAAAGAGAAAGGAGAAGTACTCCAGAGAAGACACCACCCATCCAGTAAAACCACCTACGACTTAAAGCTTCCGCTGTCCTATGCATTACCAAAGTAAGATCTTCCATATTTTTTATATCTTTTATTTTAGCAAACCAAATGGCCAAGGTAGGGAACCTCATACTACCCCATAGTGCCGGGATGCATGCCATATGGGTAATGGGCCAAAATCATTTGGATAATGATGGATCCCGATAAGTTTTACATGGAATTACATTGTGATGGAGAAGGAAAAGGGCCGGTGTGTGGAAGAAGTCTGTAAACTTCTGAAGGACCAAAATCAAGAAGCTTAGGGCAACTCCAACATATGTGCAAAAACGATCCCCGAGCTGGCTTGCATCTGCAGCAAGTATAAGGAAGGGATGGGTAGATCTGATGTAGTCACGCAGGGACCCTCTACCACCTTGTTAGTTTTTTAAAGTCTGCTTCTTGATAGGAGTTACTGACAGATGGCTTGTGAGTGAAAAAGACAATATTGTCTATCTGGTAGAGGGTATATATGAATATATTCAGGAGAGAAGGTCACTTCCAGCTCTGTTTCCCAATCGGCAATAAAAGAAAGCTTCTGGGTGTAAGGGTGTATAAAGCATTGATATGACATATCTAATTGGGCCTTCAGCTACACAAAGGTTCTCAAATGGTGCGCTTTGCCCTGGAAAAGATGTGGGAGGTGGTAGGGCAGACAAAAAGTGAAGTAGTTGTACTTCAGGAGCCAAGAGGGGAACACACCAGTTTGTACACTGATAATCTTTATTTTACCCTAAGCAAAAATGAGCAGTTAACCTTTGCATTGCGGGGCTAGCCCCACTGCAAGGGTTGATAACATTTGTGCCTGGAGTTCTTCGTTTAAAATGTTAGCAATGTGTGCTGTTGTATAAAACATTGCTATTCTCGCCCTGTTATTTCCATCTTCCACCAGCAGATGGCAGCAGAGTACCTCCTACATGTATATAGTCACTCCCACAATCCTCCTTGTCACACAATGACACATAACAACACAGCAGCAGTGTCATGTGATTGGCTGTCTGCCTTAGGGCTGGGAGGTGGAATTATTTAACAGTAAAAAGTCACTGCTACAGCATATGATTTCCTGTTTCTGCTATCATCTCCTATGACCCTGGCTTGTATGTTACAGTGAAGGTTGGGGACACCTGCTTAGTGCACATTTGATGCAGAGACACTCAGGATCTCTATAGAGCAAGCTGCATCCTTTCTGCTGAGCCAACAACAAGAAACCATCCACCATGGTGCAGATGCAGCATTATTTCTTCCTCGCCTGCGTTGCCTTGGGGTACTTCAATATGGTAACCTCTACAGGATTTGTCGTCAACCGGACACCACTGAGGGTCACAGCGGTAAGATTTAAAGCACCACACCATTAAATGCTCATCTAATAAGGTAACAGGGCACATGGACAGCACAGTAACCCATAGCAAACAATGTGATCTTTCAGTGGTCTGAGTGCGGCTGATGGGCTGCAATGGCTCACATCAGATCCACCCCTTTTCACATCAGAAGCCCCCTTTTACATTAGATCCCCCATCCACAAAAGCCCCCTTCACATCAGGAGTCACTTTTACATCAGACTCCCCCTTCACATCAGGAGTGCCTTTCATATCAGAAACCCCCCTTCACATGACCCCTCTTTCACATAAAAAGCATCCCCCCGGCTTCTAAAAAAACAAAGTTCTGTATAAAGTCCTTCCATTGTTCCATTGTGGCCAGCATTAGAGTGTTTGGTTATATCACTTTTCCATGACTTCTAGTTACCATATAGATGTGATTTGTCTCCTATTACAGCTCTGTGTCCCTCTTGTGTACAGGTGAATGGCTTCTCCTGGGCTAATTGTGATGGTGAAAGTCTACCTGGGAAGATCCAGACTCTGACTATTCTTCCAGACCCGCTGCTGTTCCCTGGAGAGATAACAGTGTCTACAATCCTGAATAGTACGGTAGCACTGACCTCCCCTGTCAAGGTAGGTACTCTATTCACCAGTATCATTATATATATATATATATATATACAGTATATATATGTGTGCTGTTTATTCCTGCCAAAGGATTTGTATTTTTGTCTATCCAGTCATGAGATTTATACAGCTCTGCCACACATTACAGCTCTGCCGGGCAAGGCAGGAGTCCTGATTTGTCATTAATACAGTTCAGTAACACATGCAGGTCTAAGCCCTCCACCATTCTTTGAGTCAACAGTGAAGAAGGAAGCAACAGACTAAAGAGGTTGTCACTCTGCTCTTTCCTCCTATTAGCATGCTTCTTGCACTGCAACACAACTAATTTGCTCCTTATGCTGCCTTCCCTTTCCTCAATCTAAGCGCTGCTATACAGTGCTGCAGTATTTAATGGTAGGCCATAGTTCTGCTAGGGATGCACCGATAAAGGTTTTCCGGTATCAAATACGAGTACCGATATGTTTGTTTTTGGAATGTCCCTCGGCGTCCTCACATACAATACACTGTATAGGACGTGAGGACTCGCAGGAACTTAGATCACTGGACCAGAGGGGGAGAAGAGGCTGCAAGGACCGGTCTAAAAGCTAGCCAGGCCCGGGGTTCAAGTGAGTATTTCTTTGTTATTTTAGCCCCTACACGGAAATGAGCACTTAACCCTTGCAGCGCTGGGGTAGCCCCACTGCAAAGGTTAACGTAACTGCCCGGAGTTCTTTCACCTGTTTTTCTTATTGGTCTCCTTTCCTCCCTCATATATCATGAAAGGTGATATATATATATATATTTGCATCCAAGATTCACACAACTTTTACCCAAGATTCACATTTTTCTAATTGGATTAATGTAAAAAAAAGTGTTAGTCCTGGGTGAAAGTGAGTGAATCTTGGGTGAAAACATTTATAAATAGACCCCTTTGTGTTTTCTATGTCTGTTTTAGTCAGAACTGGTGGCATAATCATGAAATACCTGAACAGTGGTAAAACCAGTTGGGTAGAATGTTTTGTGTACATGTAAACATTTTAGAATGTGACTATTAACCGATAATATTTTGCAGACATCGGTGTTACAGACAGCTGCTGTATTTAGTTCTAAAGGGGTATGAAGAGAAATGATTGGACCTATAGCAGACACCCAACCCCAACAAAACAATCATTTCAGGGAGGTGCCCTTCTCATTTCAGGGAGGTTTCCCTTCTCATTTCAGGGAGGTGCCCTTCTCATTTCCGGGAGGTGCCCTTCTCATTTCAGGGAGGTGCCCTTCTCATTTCAGGGTGGTGCTCTCTCCCCCCATCCGCATGGGGGACAGGGGAGAGGGCAAGTCCCTGAAATGATGGCAGATAGCAGAGGAGCTATTCCCCTGCTATCTGCTGTTTCGGCCACTGTCCAAATAAAAAGAAAAAACAACAGATAGCAGGAGAATGAATAGCTAGGCTGCTATTGGCTTTTTCAATTTCCAATAGCCAATAATAGGCTGGCTATTACACCCGCTGACTGCTGCTGTCAATCAGCAGAGGAGGACCTGCTGATTGACAGAGGTGATCCACCTCTACTGAGGTGAACTTCAGGTCCACCTCTGCTGATTGACAGCAGCAGTGGGCGGGTGCAATAGCCAGCCTGCTATTGGCTATTGCAAATTGAAATAGCCAATAGTAGCCTAGCTATTCATTCCCTTGCTGTCTGCTGTTTTTTATTCATTTTTTTTTACTCTGATGGCGAACGGCAACCATGGCTGTCTTTACCGCAGGGCAAAAGGGGCAACTGCCCTGGGCCCCTATAATTTACAGAGGCCCACAGCTGCTATCCCTTTTGCCCGATCAGCAGACAGAACAAGCAAAGTGGCACTGCTGGTGGTGAGACCGGCTAGTAGCGGTTTCCAGCCTGTCACTTCACAGGCTGGAAACCGCCAGTGTCTATGTGCCGCCTCCCCATTGATCCCCATTGGATCCCTGGATGCACACCAAACAAGGAAAGGTAGTAAATGTCGCAAATTTGGGACATGTTCTGCATTTTTTTCGCGCATGCTCATGTGAGTTCTCATGCGCACAAATGTGTGAGCTAAAATTGCATCTGCGCTGCCACATTTGGGGTGCCATTACCCCAATGTTTGACACGTTCAGTATACACCCTGGTGTGAACAGGGCCTTAATCCTTCAGTGAGACAACGGGCTGTGCGGTATTGTGCATGCAGGGCTTTGTTTTTCATAAACCATATTAAGGAACTTGTCTACTTTCAAGCTTACAAGGAGATGGGCACTCTATTACATGAAAAGCTGGCAGCAGTGAAAAAGTGATAACCTTAAGGCAGAAGTGAACCGCTTTGTTCGCATATATTGTTCTGTCCATTATTGCCCTTTTGTTTTCTTTTTCACTTCCCTATGGAACTGCTGTCCATTGTACATAGAAACTGCCACTCATAAAAAAGGGAAGCATTGTTTTTCTAAAGTAGGAAATAACAGTATTAGCAGAAGCGTTTCCATTTGTGGGATGTGGAAAAGGGGAAGAAAAAGTAGTATTTATTTTCTCCATATGTGCGCAAAAAGAGAAATACCTTTCTTGTACCAATTATATAGTCACGATATAGCAGGTGCGAGGTAATATGGGAGCGTTCTTCCTTTATTCGAACACACGGTGCAATACACCAACATTTGACCCATTTATTAAATTGAAAATATATATTGCCACCTCCAGAACCACAGTGGTATCTTCTTAAAACTTGAACTATTTGTATTAGACATAAAATCAGTACAGAGTCATAGATCGGTCAAACAATTGCCCCGTTTGCCGAAAGTTTACGACAGTGGTAGTAAAAAAGCATGTGACTCAGTCTATAGTTATCTAAGCAGATCACAAGCACACAAAAAGACTGATTTGTTTATTTGGCTTTGGGGGCAATAAAGTAAACCAGCATAGTGTAAATATGGAGATTGCCATTGCTCACCTTGCCTTTTGAAGATACCAGTTTACTTATCTGCATGCTTGTTTCAAAGTAGAGACAGACAGCTAGCATTTTCAAAAAGATGTCAGCATTCGCAACCTCTGTATTTTTCCCAGTGCATGTTTTTTTTCTTATGGATGAAAATGAAAGGATGGAATCTGGTGAGTAGGAAGTGACTTAACTTGCAGCTTACTCCAGGCTATTTTATTTCTTAAATGGAACCCCTAGGCACCTCGGGGTTCAGTGCTCATATTCAGTCCACCGCAGATTGAGTATATACTGAGAGTGTAGGATATCACGGCGCTGCCCTTGAGGGGGCATAACCACAGCGCCCTTCTTTCCCATTATACTGGTGGAAAAGGTGGCTTTGATGCCATTACATCAGTGCAGTTCTCTGCATCAGTAAGGACCGCCCAGCCAAAAGAAGAGGCAAAGGTGTCCCTGCAAGGTCATGTGACTGGCCTAAAGGCTTCAGAAAAGGTACGTTTTAAATAAAAAAAACATAAAATACTGCCATCCCACTGGCAGTATTTTATGCTTTTTGTGTTTTAATACCTACCTTTTCTGGAGTCTGCGGGAGGTAGAAGTATTAATTTGGGGGAGAGGGAGACCCTAATTTGCTTTTACATATGTACCGTAGTATGTGCAGTTTTAATACCAGTTCACACTACAGTTCCCTGTGCCACAATACACGCTTATTTGTGCATTGATGTGTTTTAAACCAATTGAACCTTCAGATGCAAAATGAATGGCACAACAACAACCTATTACATGTATTGTAAATTGCCATGTTTTGCAGTAATGCATGTAGGGTTGCCACCTCTCCAGGATTCACCGTGGCAGTCCGGGTTTTGAATGCTGTGTCCCGGTTTCAGCCAGTTGAAACCCGGCACAATATGTCAGGCAGACAAGGCAACCAAAATTAGGATAGGGGCTACTGGCCCACCACTCAAAATAGTCTCGACTGTGATATTTACATATGAGTAAGCCGCGACTCATTCTCCACAAAAAAATGCCAGTGGGTCGCTAGAGTGTTCGGGTTTTGCTGGAAGAAAAGGTGGTATCCCTAAATGCAAAGGAGTAAATAGGACATAAAGCCCACCACACACGGTACAATCTGACGATACAGTCTTTGTACAGTCTCATTTAGCTGTACCAAAACTCTGTAATATGAGGACCTAACTAAACTATCCATTCAATTTATCTCCAAATAGGCAGATCACATGATTGTTGGTAGATCTAAAGGAGATTGTACAGTCAGATTGCAACAAATGAAGTGAGCTTTACAATACTTTTTTTTTTTAGAAACCAGCTATACATAGAATAAAGGCCTGTTCCAGTCAGTATGCTGCATAGAAGGACACTCTCTCCGTGTTTAAACAGTGGTCTCTCTGCAGAGGTCTAACACCCCTGCTGAGTCAAAGCTGAAGCTCTCCAATCAACAGGGAGCATGAGCTTTGCTTATTGCAGAGGTATAGATCTGTTCTGGCAACCTTCATTTTTAATTGTGCTGACAGTAGTCATCAGGACAAACAGAAAGAAAGTAAATCTCCATAGAGGGAACACAGACAGCAATAGAGGCTAACCAGGGGCTCTACACTTTCCAAAACTAAAAAATAACAGGGTTATTCACAAAAGGGTGAAGAGTTTGGAGAAGGCAGGAGAAAGGAACAATCTAGGACAACATAGCTGAACTGGAAAGTGAGCTGAATTGGAGAAATTTTCCAAATCAGCTATGTTGTCCTAGATTGTTCACTTCTCCTGCCTTCTCCACACTCTTCACCCTTTTGTGAATAACCCTGTTTAAAATAGTTTTTGCTGTGGATACACTTTAAGTAAAACATTTATTTCAAGTACAGATTTATGCATACCTGCCTTCTAAAAATATGACATAACCGGTTCTCGTCACAGTAGTTCCCTGTTCCTTCCTTGTTTACTTTGTTCCTCAAGATGATTTCTGACCCCGTCAGCGGTCTCTGATTAAACACTGAAGCTGAAGTGTGAGCGAAGTGCACTAAATGTTAGCAGAAATGTTAAAGCTTAACTCCAGCCAAGATTGTGCATGGTCAGCTTTACAACATAAAGAATCATTTTCTTACTTTCATCTTTTATGAACAACACCTTGGACATAAAATACAATACTGTTTCACTTGTTTATTAATCATATTGAGGTTGGCATAGTTCAATTTTGGTGTTAGCTGATGATACCAACATCTGCAGGGTAATAAACCTTTTCACAAGACATATAATGTTACAAGAAGACCTTGACAGAGTAGAGGGTGGTCAGCTATATGGTAGATGAGGTTTAATATTGAAAAATTTTAAGTTATGCATTTAGGTGCTAAAGATTTGCATGCAAGCTACTCATTAGGAGGAGCACCTCTGGGAAAAATCGGTGATGGAAAAAGATTTGGGGGTCCTAGTATACCACAGACTTATAGTAGCATGCAATGCCAAGCAGCAGCTAACAAAGCTAGTAGACTGTTGTCATTCATAAAAAAAGATATTTACGCCACAGACAAATACATAGGTCTACCACTTTACAGAACACTGGTCCGGCCTCATCTTGAGTATGCAGTTCAGTTTTGGGCACCGATCCAGAGGAAAGATGTCCTTGAACTTGAGAGAGAGAGCAGAGAAGGGCAATGACATTAATAAGGGGATGACCTAAGCTATGAGGAAAGATTACAGAAATTGCACTTATTCATTCTGGAGAACAGGCGTTTAAGAGAGGAAATGATTTCAATTGTTGAATGGTGACGGTAGACTCGGTAACAAACTGTTTACTCTAAGGTACTTAGAAGACAAGAGGCCCCCACTTTAAACTGGAGGAAAAGAGGTTTAATCTCAAAAACTGCGTAGAGGATGTTTAGTGTTAGATCAGTAAAGTTGTGGAACTCTCTTGCCCAGGTAGCAGTGTCAGACACATTACCCAGGTAGTGGTCTCAGTACAGACACATTCAAAAAACTTCTAAATGTCTTTCTTAGTGAATACTATATACATGGGTATGGGACTTCTTAGTGAGCCCTATACACACACACACACACACACACCCACACACACACACACACAGGTTGAACTGGATGGACCTGTGTCTTTAGTCAACCTTAACAACTATGTATGTGTGTAACCCGTTTTTCATTTCATTTTACTTTTTTATGCCAGGTGCAAATCACTGCAGAGAAGGAGTTTGCACATGAATGGATAAAGATTCCCTGCTTAGATGAGGTTGGCAGCTGCACCTATGATGATGTTTGTGATATTCTGGACCAGCTAATTGAGCCAGGGCAACCCTGTCCAGAGCCGCTTCACACCTACGGAATACCCTGCCACTGCCCCTTCCAATCAGTAAGTGTCAATGGCTACAGACTCGGGTAATACAACCACACAACAAAACAAGGTCTGCTTACGTGTAGATCCCATCCCCATGTGAAAAAGCAGTGTTACCTGTAAAAAAAAGATCACACATTAGCAAAGCAAAAACATACTTACCTCACCCTGACTTTCATCTGTGGTGACACCTAAGTGAAGGTGACATCGCAGTGCTTCCGGTGAGATTGTGGAAAAGCTGGAGATCCCAAATCTGATAAGAGCAGCACTGTGCAAGTACATATTCTCAAGAGATTTAAGATCTTCAGCCTTCCTAGGATCCCACTGGAAGGTCCATGATGTCACATTAGCCCGTGATGTCACTAAGTCGGGGCATAAGTATGTTTTTGCTTTATCTCCAAGTGTGTGTTTTCTGTTTAAGTGTAATGCTTTTTTTACGTCCCATTCACATTTTGTGAATTAGCACACGTGTGTTATGACGTTATTCAAATGAATGGGCTGCCAAATGCACCAGAACAGATACATCTAGCTGTTATGGCAGCGTGCTTCAACACAACGCACATCCATGGGCAAAGTGCATTGGGAAGCCATTCAGAATTAATGGCACTGCATCACACTAATGTGCCTAACACGTGTTTCCATGTGCACTACCACAACACTATAGTGTAAATGGGCCTTAAAGGGGAACTATGGGGTTAGGGCTTTTCCCCATAGTTCTCCTTAGGGTAACGGGAGGACACAAACTAGCGTCCTCCCGTCAACCTAAGCTCAGTAGACCGCGAGCTACAGCTCGCGATCTACTGAGCTACAACTCCTGATCTACTGAGCCGACCTGTGACAGTCTCATTGTCACAGGTCGGCTAGAACTATGAGGTGAGTGAAAAGCACTCACCTCATAGTTCTCCTTTAAGTATATACACACACTTTTTATTCAAGCCCTGCTACCAGTTCACTTATGCTCGTCCTCCATAACCCATTAGCAAAACCGCTCAATGCCGATGATGGTCAGATTGTGCTTTATTGAAATTCCACACTAGAAAATAACATTCAAAAACTGATTTCAAAAGTAACATTGGAATAGGAATTGCCAGACATAGTTTGTCTGGTGACTTTATGAAGCTCTTTATAAAATAAACCAGATTATGTGTGGAAACATCAAGGGGTTATGTGGCCACCATCTATATAAGGGGTAGGGAACCTCGGCACTCGAAACTACAAATCCCTTCATGCCTCTGGGAGTCATGTCTGTGGTTGTCAGTCTTGCAGGGCTTCATGGTATTTGTAGTTACACAACAGCTGGAGTGTCAAGGTTGTCTACCCCTGATCTACAGTATATGGTCTTCAGTAAGTGGATGTGTATACAGTGTACGGTGGTGAGTTCACATGTATAGCACAGTAAAGCTGTCTTAAAACAGAACGTATTCATTCAATCATTCGCATATTCCAAAAATAAAATGATCATTCATTTCAGGACTGTGGACAGAGCCATGCAAATTATTGTTTTACACCCTATTGGCCAGATGCACATCTGGTGACTCATGTCACCACAGGGTTACCTTAATGCCTGGTTCACACCTGGGCGTTTTACAGCGCGTTCCTACGCGCTGTAAAACGCTCAACATGTGAAAACCAATGATTGCCTATGGGCATGGTTCCCACCTGGGCGTTTTACAGCTTGTAGGAACGCGCTACAAAATGCCCTACGCCCAAAGAAGTACAGGAGCTTCTTTGGGTCGTATTTGCCTGGGATACAGCCAGGTAGCCCTCGGCAACGCGCATTTGTCGCACGTTTTTTTTACCACGAATCGCTGTAAAAACACGAGCACAAAACACGCGACAAACGCCCATATTCGATACGCCTAGGTGTGAACCTAACCTAGAAGGCCACCTGTAAAAGAAGCATGAATATACTTACCTTTTTGGTGGCCCGTGTATTGAATATCCACTATTTCTTCAATCCCCATCCACCTTATGTAAGTATATTCATGCTTCTTTTACAGGTGGACTATTGGGTAAATGTGACCCTGTAGTGACAGGGTCACTTTAAAAGAAGGCCTGCAAAACAGATAGAAAACTGTGAGTGGGTCATTGGACTCTGCAGCCACAAGGCTTATAGCCATTGTGTCCAGTAGTACATAGGATACAAAGTGTTGGTATGAAACTGTGCTTATTTATTACTGTATATCTGAATGTTGTGTCTCTGCTTTTTTCCAGGGTTCCTATTATCTCCCTGTTACCAGTTTCTACGTCCCAGATTTACCTCTGCCTTCTATGTTTACTAGCGGCAGTTATCGTGTCACTGTTGTCCTGAGCCATGGAGGGCAGGAGATTGGATGTGCCAAAATTACTTTTTCTTTAGGGACATCTTCTTCCCATTGGCTGTAAAAGGAAGTCACAGACACGAAGTCACAGACACTGGCTTGCTTCTGGATTGCCCAGCGACTGACATGTACCAGGTTATTCAGTAAAGCAACACAGGGGACAATGATGATGTGCAAAGTATAGGAATTGATAGCAGCCAGTCGAATTTTGGTTGATCGTAGTCAGATCATTGATGATTTGCATTGGTTGCTGCATTTGGCTACACTTTGCTTCATCGTACTGTATCAGCCCAGTTTGCATGTAGATAGCCTGTAGGCATAAGTGTTAAAACAAAGTGTGGCTTTTATATAACGTGACTAATTTTTAACCCGGCGCTCAGCCTTTCTCTGTTTTTGCTAAAAACTCACATGACTACCAGGAGACTGAAAAAATATTTCCATGCAAATTATTTATAGCTGTTACAGTTTTATCTTTAGAAGTTTAGGGAACAATATCTTTAAAGTGTTGGACTACTTGCCACTGGTTGATTAGTGACATAGTCATGAGCCCAGTTTGATCTATTATGGTAATAGTGTATCTCCATTACATATCTGCACCTTGACAAGCGGGACAAGTGATACGTTAAGCCATCTTGTGATTCAGTTTGCCCAATGCAGAATTATTTATATTGGATGGAGCTGTCATTTAAAGGTAATCTCCAACCATAACTGGGACAACAATCAACCTACCTGCTCAGTGGTATCTCCTTATAGTCCTGTATCATGGTGTGTTATGTGTGGCTGATTTCTTCTTTTTTTTTTGGAAGTAAATCTGATTTCTGAATATTTGCTTTGAGTAACTGTTATCATTGCACTTTGAATTTCGTCAAACTCCTATGCACTGGCACAATTACCATCCAGTATGTCATGAAGCACAGCAGATGGATCGTGGAAGAGAATATCCTGAGTGCTGGATCTAAACGCATATAGTTGCCTACTGTCCCTGGATGCTGAGACAGTCCCCTATTTTACAGCTTTGTCCAGAGAAATATTTCTCCTGTGAAAGTTTCTGGTTTTGAACACTGATCAGCTTTTCCAATAAAGTCTAATTTCTTTAAAAAGCCAAATCGCATTCTTTCTGTCCATTTACACTGACCTGTCTATAAAACGTATTCTTTGTATTCTTTGTTATGTTTTTATTGTGCAAAGAGAGACATTCTTAAAATGGACCTTCCCCCTCTTCTTAAAGGAGAACTATGGGGTCAGTGTTTTTCCCCATAGTTCTCCTTAAGGTAACGGGAGGACACAAACTAGCATCCTCCCGTTACCCTAAGCTCAGTATACCGCGAGCTACAGCTCGCGGTATACTGAGACGCCGCAGCTGGAGCGGATCCCGACTTAGATGACGGGATCCGCCCAGCTGCGTGAGTGACAGCTGGCTCTGCCTATCTAGAGGCAGAGCCAGCTGTACCCGCACCCTCTCCCGTTTGTTCCGCCAGTCAGTGCTGGCAGATCGGAGCGGGGAGAGGGGAATCCAGCCCCTCCCCCTGTCAAGGCAGAGAGCCGTGACAGGATCGGAAGGTGAGCGAACCTGGTATGTGTTCGCTCACCTCCCGATCTACTGAGCCGACCTGTGACAGTCTCATTGTCACAGGTCGGCTAGAACTATGAGGTGAGTGAAAAGCACTCACCTCATAGTTATACTTTAATAAAATGCCAATGCTATGTAAATGTATCTAAGGAAACGAGTAGACTTATACATAGCAACATGCGTCTTTATTTTTCATCTTGCCACATTCCCACCAATCCACCATCTTTAAAAAACATCTGCATGAGTGACCAGTTTCTTCCTGGTTCTCTGTGCTAATCGATCGATGACGTCTGCACCAGACCTCGCACATTGCCAGTACGATATCTAGTGTGGTTTCTTAATGTGTTTACGTTGCCATCTGTGGAAAAATAATACCCGTTTCCCTGAGATCTTGTGAGATTTGGCAAAATCTTGCTTTTAGTTTTATTCCAAGATCTCCCTGTAAGGTATTGGTGACATCACTAGTGTCTCGGGAAACAATGAAGTAGAATTGCTTAAAAGGTCATTACAAAAATACATCTTTTAATAGACAAAGACATGCAGATTTTTTTCATTCATGCACCAGGGCATTTTGTGTTTAGTGAGGAAAGGTCCATTTAATACTGCCAACAATTGTAAAGGGGGCTGAATAAACACCATAACATGTGGAACAATCATGTTATATCAAGCATCAAAGTAGATGTTGCACAAATATAACATTTTTTTTTTGTTTTTATAAAATTTCAAAATAATGTATGTAAACATTTATACAGGGCATGGATGTGAAGTATATATTATAATATAATAAACAAAGTAGTTCATATTTGTCCAAATATATCAGGTAGTTCGAAACCGCCAATTAAATAATAAAGGGAAGGGGGTAACGGCAGCGGTAATCTGTGGCAATAGCAAATATTAATGGCTGATAATATAAACATTACAATGTTTTAAAGAAGAACTCCAGTTAAAAATGTGATTAACCCTTGCAGTGGGTTAATGAAAGTTATACTCACCAGACCATATGGAGCCAGCTACCTGCTTCTGTGATCACTGAAGCTTGTCTCCTCCTGGGCTGCAGATATGGACTGCATGGTCTATATTAGGGCACTACAATGTCGTAGTGGTTAGCACTACTGCCTTGCAGTATGGGGGGTCCCTGGTTCGAATGTTCTCCCTGTGCTTGCGTGGGTTTCCTTTGGGTACTCTGGTTTCCTCCCACACTCCAAAGACATGCTGGTAAGTTAATTGGCTCCTCTCTAAGTTTGGCCTCTATGTATGCATGTGAGATAGGGACCTTAGGTTGTAAGCTCCTGGGTAGGGACTGATGTGAATGTGCAACTATGTAAAGTGCTGCGTAAATTGTCGTAGAGAGGGCAATGGGGGGTCATGTCCTCTTTACAGTGTAAAGAGGGCATGACTATGCTGTAAATATGTTCAGATATATTATAGTAAGAATATTTGTAGCTGATGAGCTCTGCTTTAGTCCTCTTTCTGCAAACTTGCCCCCTGCCAAACCCAGCAATCAGAATAATTTAGCTGTCTGCACATTAATTATGGCTTCCAATTGGGGAGATAAAGGAAGGGAGATTTGGCATCCCTTAGCATCTTGCCTAATGCACAGTACCATCTACTGACTGAACGGAGCCCAAGTATAATGTGATTTGTATTTTTCTGCATCTCAGGGACCTTCAGAGCCATGTGAACTCAAAAAGCAGTAAGTGTTTATACTGAAAGATTTGCATAATTTGAACACCTCTCTCTGGGCAGGATATTAACACTTCCTAACTCCAATTATGCAAATGCAACCAGTTGCTGTGACTTATTTTTTACAGATATACCATGACCTGGATGAGTGAGAACCTTCACAGACATACATTGCAACAAATTCCTAGTCAAAATTTCTCAATGTATCCAGTAAGCGCTTCAATTACAGGCACACTTTTTTTACACGATCTCGACTTTAGGTCAAAGCAGAGCTTGGCTACACACTTCCTCTCTATCCTATAAGCCAGATAGAATATCATTGTTCTCTATTCTACTCCTAAAAAAGCATAATACAATATATTTCTAAAGAAATTGAACCCAGGTGCTTTCCATGGCCTCTGATTGGGTCCAATGTTCCTGAAAACTATTTTACAATGTTTGCAACAATGAGCAAAAGGTAAGTATTGTATACACAGGTTTTTTCTATCACCACACCCAAAAATAGTTTGGAGCTTTGTAGTTATTTACTTTGTAAATACCATCTAATGCTAAATGGTGGCTTAGCGTGGGTGTTAATGATTGCGCAGTCATATTAAATGGCATAATGTGCACATTGTTCTTTGCTACTATACAAGATACACTGAGGCCCTCAGCGTATCTTGTACAGTAGCAAACAACAATGTGCACATTATGCCATCATGTTGCTAATTTGCTTTATAAATGTCCCTCACTCTGAAGGCCATTTATAAAGCAAATTAGCAACATGTCTAGATACACATCAGGCTGCCTCTCCATTCAGCACAGTCTCTGTGAAAGGTTTTACAGTGTGTGTGACCGCTGCGCCTGTTATCCTGGGCAGCCAACTGCGACAGTTTACAATTCTGGAACAGATTTAACACTGTAGATGAGAAATCATGTCACTGAGCTGAAAGCAGCTGGAATTAGATTTCTGCAAATGACTGCACTTTGCACATTATTATTGATACTCACTCCTTAAGGTCCCCACACACCTTACGATAATCGAGGGAAATCCAGCGATCGTACGATTATCGTAAGGTGTGTGGAAGCCGTGCGACCTCTACTACTGTAAGGTCGCACGACTTTAAACTTACGAACATGTTTCAAAACCCGACGAGCATCGTACGATGTTCGGCGGGTGTGAAGTATGTTTGTGTGATAAAAGCCGGACGGATCAAATGTAAACTGTACATTTTGAAAAGTGCAAAAACTTCTCACATGTTGTCAGTGTTTAAGCCTGTGATAATAAAATTTTAAATATAATGCCATGTCTAACAAAAAAAATAAAAGTATTTCTGGAATAAACATAACATGACATATCAGGATTTCACAACACTTCGTAAAGGAGAACTATGGGGTCAGGGCTTTTCCCCATAGTTCTCCTAAGGGTACGGGAGGACACAAACTAGCGTCCTCCCGTCACCCAAAGCTCAGTATACTGGGAGCTACAGCTCGCGGTATACTGAGACGCCACAGACGGAACGGATCGCGACAATTATGTCTGGATCCACCCAGCTGAGTGAGTGACAGCTGGCTGTGCCTATTTAGAGAAATAATCTTAACCCTTGCAGTGTGGCTATCTCTGTACTACAAGGGTTCAGTGCTTGTTTTGGTCTAGGGTGTAAAATTAAAAAGTTATACTCACCAGCTATTTGCTAGACCGATCCCTGCAGCCTCGTACCCCCTCCACTCTGGCGGTCTTAGAACCCGTGAGTTACCACATCCAATACACGCCAAGGGACATTGCATCACTGGAACAAAGGTGGAGAGAGGCTGCAGAGATCGGTCTAGCAGCCAGCTGGCTTTGGAGATCGGGTGAGCATATCTTTGTGGGTCCCCGCAGCACTCTTCCCCCGCCCCTGCACGTGTGCCACCATTGTTCTAATCGAGGCACCCGTGCGCTCTCGTGCCCGCAGTGGCTGTGTGCGTCCAAAGACACACACAGCTCTGTGGCAGGCCACACCCCCTCACTCTTTGATTGATGTATCCTCCCCCGCAACCTGGAAGTTCGGGAAACAAAGGATCCCTTCGGGACCGGCGACGAGGATAAGCGTCGCTGACAGGTAAGTGTGGGGGGGACTGAGGGAGAAAAAAGGTGCTGAGTCGTTTTTACCCTAATGCAAAGAATGCATTAAGGTAAAAAAAAAGCCCAGACCTTAATACTACTTTCATTGTTTTGCTATTTTTTTTCCTTATATAATCTAAATAAAAAAACTGACATGAGACAAAAAACCTGGGGACTAAAATTCAGAAATCTTGCCACTGTAGTCCCATTGAAATGAGAATTGCAGGTGACTCATAACAACATCGACTCCAAACCAACTGGATTGACCTTTTCATTTTAGAGTCCCACTTACAATTGGAGAAGAAAAAAGTGGAGAACATACTCTAAGTGAGCAGTCAGATTTTATCTAGAAAAAAGCAACTTCTGTCTAGAACAAAAAAAAAAAAGACTCTGGCTGGTCGCTACGGGCGAGGTACCCACAAGGTATAATAAATAAGCCTCCCGATTGCTGACTAACTCTAAAATATTCACAGCTCAAGGGAGCCCTCTGCTGTGGTTTTCTTGCGAAGGCGTTTACATAGAGGAATTCTTGTTCTGCCTGAGGTCAGAAGGCTCTTTTTTTTATTGTGCTGTTGATCCCAGCATAATTGTCGGGATCCACTTCAGCTGCGGCGTCTCAGTATACCGCGAGCTCGTGGTATACTGCGGCGTCTCAGTATACCGCGAGCTACAGCTCACGGTATACTGAGCCTAGGGTGACGGGAGGACGCTAGTTTGTGCCCTCCCGTTACCCTAAGGAGAACTATGGGGAAAAGCCTTAACCCCATAGTTCTCTTTTAAAAAAGAATTGTGAAAATCTTTGTGAAAAAAAAAAATCACAATCTTACCCTTGAAGTGGGGCCTCCTCTGCACTGCAAGATTTAACAGCTAGTTTTGTATAGGGGGCTCAAATGAAGCAGTTTTACTCCTTGGTCTCCCAGGGGTCGGCTCTGGCCTCTGTCCCCCTCCACTCCGTCGGTCTAAGGTCACATTCTACACAGTGTATTAGATGTGCGGGGGGACATTTAATCCCCGCATCCCCCCCCCCCCCCTGCATGTCCCTGGATGATGCCACAATCAATTTTTTGTTGTTGTATGCGTTCTGTTGCATTTCAGTGCATTTTGATGCGCTTCGTGCAGTTAGATGCAGGTAAAATAGGACAAGCAGTACTTTTTCTGACTGCATCTCAACGAACGGCAATGGTGTGAATTATGTGTGGATGGTGTTATCAGGACATCCCTAGTGTGAATAAAGCACAAGAAAGCCCATAGGAAAGCATTGTGATGTATTTTCACTGCAGCGGTCAAAATAAACGGACTGCATCACAACTGCATATGGCTGTGAGTTTCAGGTGAGGATAACTTTTTTGTTTTTGTCCTCAGATGTCCAGGTGTCAGTGGGAGGAAAAATGTTCTTGCTTTGGTGGTCAATGGAGGGATAAAATCTACCAGTGGTCAGTGGAAGGGAAGGCGGTCACAGCATTGGCAGCCATTGGGGGGAGAAATTCCCAAGTGGTTGGTGGTCTTGTGAGAGAAAAAAGCCGCCTCAGCATTAGCGGGAGGAAGAATGTCCCTGTGGTTGGTGGCAGGCCCCTCAAGTCCAAGAAAAGGGTCCAGGACAGGGCACACCATGAATAGGCAGCCACCAAGCAAAATGACCCGCCACAGAAGTAAATTGGCAGCTGCCTGTTCAAGGTGCGTCTTGTCCTGCCTGCCACAGCCACACCAAGGTGCCCACTTCAGAATTGAACAGGTGGAGAGCTTTTCTCAGCCAACCATTCACTTCCATGGTGGCCAACTTGGCCCGGTGGCCGCATATTCCTTTCTAAGGCGAGACATGCCCTGGACCTGCAGGATGATGTTCAAATTCCAGGACAGTCGGGACACTGGGGGGGACATGTACACTAATCACCAGCTGAGGTTACAGAAATGACAAGCTGAGCTGAAGTATAATGCTGATGGGGCACACAGGGATGCCAGATGAAATGTAAATACATTATTGTTGTGATTAAGCACTGCCAGCTATGCCATGACGTGGATATATCTGAACCTTCACAGACAATAAAGAGAACATTTCTGTCCATAATGAGTAGGAAGGAAGGATCAGAATACCCCAGCCATGCAATTCAGCAGAGGGCAGCAGGCTTGTTCCTGGAACAATAAAGTTTTCTTTAATAAAGCAGATAAAGTAAAAAAAAAAAAAAAGCTCCGCGCTGCTGCTGTGGTGACGGTCAGCTGATTGGCGGCTCACGTGACTGTAATGTGTGCGGCTGGCTGGAATGGAGTGAAGAGGGAAGAGGACGGGGAACAGACTGTAAGTGTTGGTGCGGCATGACATCGCGGGGATGGGGGGACTGGAGAGGAGTACGGGGGAGAAGGGGCGGGTAGTGCTGTAAGGACAGGAGGACCTGACAGCTGTCAGTTTGTGGTGGTACTGTGTACTTGGGGCACAAGTTGGCAGCTCTAGCTCATTTATCAGATCTCCAGGAAGAGGCCCGGTTTCTGCACACATCACCATGGTAATGTCACTGGGGGGCTTAGGTCAGTGCTTCTCTCTTGAGTCATATTTTGTATTATGATCTTATGAGTTTTTGTGCAAGTGATGGTGTTGCAGCATGCATAGATACTCAACTTCAGCAGAAAGAAGTGTGGAATGGTTGTCTGCTGTGGGAGAGGAGTATTGGGGGGTACAATAATAGGGGGTAAGGTGAGGATAGGAGTAGATGCCATGCGATGTGCTCACAGGAAGAAGGGTGTGATTATTGCATGGGAACAGCAGGAACAATAAGATAAGAGGTGTGATATTGTGAGTTCAAAAGGTGAGGTTAGATTGTGGATTATGCATGGAGGGAGTGAGGTAATGGTGTGAATCCTAGAGGGTAGTGGTGATTGGTTTTGGTGTGAGTACAGGAGAAGGGGATGATTATGGAGGGATGTGACTGAAGTCTTGGA